TCCATGTCAATCGCAAGAAGACCTTGCTTCAGCATTGGGAGTCACCCGCCAAGCCATTTCAAAGCGACTTCATGCTCTGGGAATGATTCCGACAAATTTTTATTAAAAAACCAGCGAGAATTTAGTTGCGCACCTAATATTATTTTTTTTTTTTTTATTATTATTTTTTTTTATTTGTTTTATTATTTTATTTTTTATTATTTTTTATTTTATTTTTTTTTATTTTTTATTTTTGAGCCGTAGGCTCAAAAATATTCAAGATGAGTCAAGACATATTCAGATCCTATCATATTGCTGCGGTCATTAAATTAAAGCTCATCTTCTAACGAAAGAAGTATGTCGGGTCATACAACAGCCGAAAAAGTTGTGTGCCCTGTGACGTCACGCCTCTCTCGATCAATATCGAGTGCATTCGCTTCGCTCTTTCGTGCTATCGCGGTTTCGATTTCTCAGTCGCTCTGCTCCAATCATTATCCCACTCCAGACTTTTATAATTGTGTATATACAATTATGTGTATATATAATATAATTATGTATATATAATTATTATGTGTATATTTGTATGAAGGAGATGCATGTGCAATGCACACCCGCTGACAGACAGCGGTCAGTGGCCGGCGTTTATGCTGAAGCGGCTTTGAAGGGCCGGCTGCATTTCAAGTGAAATCATTTTACAATGCACTTGAACTGCGCTAGAAATTTTTATTTTGTTTACGTTCAAGTGTCAATGCATTATTTGTATATTTCGTTCAGCCACAGAGAGTTGCTGCTTGCGTATTTAATGTTATTCTGGGTACGGTGTAACTTCGATATATGTGCATACCACAACCTCTTAATCCTGGCATTCCCCATATAACTGGGAGTCGTACATCCATATAGGTTTTAATACCGAGTTATACAGCAGGACTTTATATACAAGGCTAAGGGAAGACCGAGCGTTGATAAGCCAATGAGGCTGCTCCCGCGGCATCCGGCAACGCCGAAGTTGCAGAACCGATAGTTTAAGCGGGTGTCAAATCTCTGTTAACTCAGCCGGTAACCATGTGCCTAAGCTTTCTTTTCTATTTGACACTTGAGGGAAGCGGACGAAAAGTAAGAACATATTAAGATTTAAGAATTGATTATGAATTGTACAACCATTACTTTAATAGGAATTTAAAGTGCTGCTATCACAGCTTGGAGTGAAAGAGTGGTTACCGACTGTACCACTGATAGCCCTTGCTGCCCTGTTATAAATGAAGAAAACAATAAACAATTATCAGCATTTACACGGGCGTCTTTACTCGGGCGGCGCTAAACAACTTCGAATTCCCGCAACATTTCTTTAAATTCTTTTCTGGTGTATTCTTGGAGAATACTTGAACCAGAGAGCGAAATCAACATAGAGATGCCTACTGTTTCCGGTGGAGAGGCAAGATTGGTGGCGACATGCTTCCTCTGTGAAGTAGAGGACGAGCACGTGACAGTTGGCTGTATCGGCGCCGGCTGCGTGAGCATGTGCCATCCTAAGTGTGCTGCTCTAGAGGATGGCGGCGTAGGATGGATCTGTGCAGAGTGTGACGCAGACGTCCATGCGACGTTGATCAGGACAGAAAAGCTGACCAGCCTGACGGCTGGGGACAACTACCAGAGTTACTCAGGTGGCGACCAGATGAGGATCGGAACTAATGACGTCAACGAGGCCTCGAAGGAAGCGCAGGACCCGCAGACGGAGCTAAGGTTGTTGGAGGAAGAAGATCAGTTGCTGCAGTTACGACAACAACTTCTACATAGGCGAATGGCGCTCATGGGCAAGCTCCCAAGGGAGAGGCTAGCGGAGACTGGCCCCGCAGAAAAGATGCCTGAAGCATCTAGTACACGGTATTAGAATGCTAGATACAATTGGTGAAGTTGCCGTTGTGGAAGGAAACGGCAGTACGCAGAGATCCCACGCTGGACCCCCATGGTTCTTTTCTACCAGTGGGGAGAACCACTCAGCTGCTAGGGTCACTAAACCTGTGGGCAGACCATTGTACGAACAATTGACAGCGAGGAAGCCTAGCGTGGCTGAGTTGGTGAAGTTTTCCGGAAGGCCGGAGGACTGGCCCTTATTCATCGCAACGTATGAACAGACAACGGAGCTATGCGGATTCACGGATGCCGAGAAACTAATGCGGCTTTGAGGACCAGCCAAGAAAGCAGTACAAAGTCTAATGCTGCATGCGGACTGTGTTCCGCAGATAATCGCCACGCTAAGAATGCGATTTGGGCGACCCGAAATTATCATTGACTTGTTAGTGACAAGGATTAGACAATTTCCTCAAGTGAGGGAGAACAAGCTTGAAATGCTGGTTGACTTCTCGGTGGAGGTGCAAAATGTTTGTGCTACCAAGAAAACCTCCAAGTTGGACCAGTACTTAAACAACCCAGCGCTCACGCAGGAACTAGTGAGCAAGTTGCCATCGATGGTGCAGACGTTTTGGGGAATGCACAAAGCCTCTCTAACAGTGTGTACGTTGGCAGAGTTTAGTACGTGGCTATCGCAGATGGCAGAAGGAGCGAGCCATGTGATAGTCCCAAGCTCGTTGTCAAGAACGGAAAGAAGGGGCACGGTACATACACACACTGTGCGCCAAGGCTGTCGGCTGTGCACCCGCAATTGCAGAACCCTTCAGAAGTGTCCAGCATTCCTGGAAATGACGATCCGCGATCGCTGGAATGCGACTCGACGGTGTGGCTTGTGCTGGAGATGTTTCCAGAGCCACAAGGTGGAAAGATGCGGCGTCGCCAATCCTTGCGGAATAGATGGATACCTAGAACCCCATCATCGCCTGTTGCATCGCAGCAGCACGGAAATGCTATTCAGGGTATTGCCAGTGACTTAGTATGGAAATGGTAGGCAAGTCAACACGTATGTCTTCATCGACGACGGGTCATCTCTAACCTTGATCGACGTCCCACTACTCGACTTAAGGATCTCCGGCATTGGCCAAACGAAGCTATATGATCTTCGCGACGTTCACTCGGTCCAGTCTCTTGATCTCCCGTCACAGTCGTTAGATATATCCCACCTGAAAGCACAGCACACTCACCTTCGACATCTACCACTGTCCGGATACGACTCAGCACAGCCCAGGCTCCTGATAGGTCTCAATAATTGCAAACTAGGGCGCGTGCTTCGCACCAAGGAAGGCACAACAGAAGATCCGATCGCTGAGAAGACCCGCCTGGGGTGGACGATTAAAGGAAGAAGCTCCAACAGTGTGGGTGATGACATAACCCCAAACTACCACGAGTTTCACATATGTGCATGTGAAGCTGACGAGAACAAGGAAATCATGCGCCTGCTTGAGCAGTGCATGTGGTCGGACCGCGGCCCTAGACCGGTGATGAATAGCAAGAGCGTATCCAATGATGACCAGTTGGCTATACAGTAGCTGGAGAAGTACACGAGGCGTATAAATGACCGATTTGAAACAGGTCTGCTTTGGAGGTATAAAGATAACAAGCTGCCGGATAGTTTACCGACAGCCCTAAAGCGGGCACGATGCCTTTACCAGAAACTGACTCGCGAGCCGGAGCTTGCGAAGGAAATTCGCCGACAGCTAGATGAGTACGTGAAAAAAGGATATGCACTGCCCATTTCGTCGGAAGAAGCGGCTGCGAAGACGGAAGAGATCTCGCTGAACACAATGCTGCTGAAGGGACCTGACCAACTTGCGCAGTTGGTACCAATTCTTCACAGGCTTAGAGAGAAACGTATTGCTATCGGCGGCGATATCGCCGAGATGTTTCATCAGGTCAGGATACACAGGATTATAGACCCATACACACAACGGAGAGAGAACTACGCCATGAAGGTAATGACGTTTGGGGCTAGTTGCTCCCCCAGCTGTGCCCAGTACGTGAAGAACAGAAATGCAGAGTCGTTCAAGAAGGAATACCCATGCGCTGTTAAGTGCATACTGGAGAATCACTATGTAGACGACATGCTGAACAGCGTCGATACGGAGGAAGAAGCTATAAGCCTCGCGCGTCAGGTCCACTACATTCATCTTCAGGGCGGATTCCTCATTGGAAAGTGGGTATCGAATTCCAGAGAAGTACTAAGCGCACTCGGCGAAGGAGCACCCACGCTTCGGTATATCCCGGACGTTGAGAAAATGACCATCCCAAGATGCCACATGAACGAGTCGCTGATGGATTCAGAAGTGGAGATGCACACCTTCGTGGACGCCGTGAGTTATATAAGATTTCAAAATGAGGCAGGTATCAACTGCAGTCTACTGGGCAGCAAAACCAAGGTAGCCCCTCTAAGACCGACATCCATACCAAGGCTTGAACTCATGGGAGCAGTGCTTGGAGCGAGGTTAGCTCAAACTCTGGAGCTTTCACTTGGCGCGAAGCTGAGCACACGGACTTTCTGGACCGACTCGAGGACCGTGTTGAGTTGGCTGCGATCGGACCAGAGGAAGTACAAACAATTTGTAGCATTCCGTGTGATCGAGATTCTAGACGGTACTAGCGTCAAGGACTGGCGCTCACCTTCCTCCGAGAACGTGGCGGACGACGCTACTAAGTGGAACAAAGGACCTGATTTCAACCGAGAAAGTCGTTGGTTGAACGGGCCGACATTTCTATGGCAAGAGAGGCAATTTTGGCCGCTGACAGAGGCGGAAGAAGGAGACGAGTCAGGAATGGAATTGAAGGCGCAATTCATCGGCGTATGAGACGGATTCACAGACGTAGGTCGCGCGACCCTTGTAGACTCCGAGCGGTTTTCAATCTGGACCCGTCTGCTATGGAGTACCGCGAGGACGGTATGGTGTATGAGGCGATGGAAGGCCAAGGCTCTTCAACGATCGGACATCGAAAATCAGCCATCACAAAAAGATTCCAGGGTCGCGGAGAGTCTTCTGTGGTCGTACGCTCAGGAGGAGTACTACCAGACGGAGATAGGGTTAATTTTACAAGGAAAACCATTGAAGAAGAATAACCTACTATACAAGCTGTGACCGTATATGGATTCCGATGGAGTATTAAAGCTGGATGAACGTGCCAAGATCATCAAGGGAAGCGACCGCGTCGTACTCCCCTGCGGCAGCCACATTACGCAGCTTATCATAAAGGAATTTCACCGAAGATTTCTGCACGCTAACCACGAGACGGTGGTCAACGAACTACGACAAAAATTTTGGATACCAAAGCTGAGATCCACCCTTGCTCGGATACGACGTTCCTGCCAACAATGCAAGAACCGACAGGCGGCCCCCAAACCGCCGCGCATGGCGGAATTTCCCTATCCAAGAGTAGCAGCCTTTCATAGACCTTTCAGCTACAAGGGTGTGGACTACTTTGGGCCTCTGATGGTGCGGGTCAGACGCAGTTCAGAGAAACGATACGGCGTGCTCTTCACCTGCCTCTCTACAAGAACAATACATCTAGAGGTAGCGTATTCATTAACAACTGACTCTTGTATTCTAGCGGTGCGCAGTTTTATGGCCCGACGAGGGTGCCCAGTGGAACTCTGGAGCGACAACGGCACCAATTTTCAAGGAGCCTGCACAGAGTTGCGTAGGGCGTTCTCTCTCGCGTTCAAGGATATACTGTCTCGCGAGTTCACTGGACCCCAGATGACATGGAAGTTCATTCCACCCGCATCTCCCCACATGGGTGAGCAGTTAGTGCGGTCCGTGAAGACGGCGTTGGAATCAATCCTGCTTGACAAACGACCATCGGATGAGTTGCTGAGAGACGCCCTAATGGAGGCGGAGGCAATCGTCAACTCGCGACCCCTAACATACATCCCATTGGAAGATGAGAACGAAGAATCACTGACACCGAATCATTTCCTGCTTGGAAGCTCAACTGGAAGAGGACCGACGATGGAAGCCCTACCCGAAGGAGTGCAGCTCAAGAAGAGCTGGAAGGAATCACAACAACTGGCGGACTCGTTCTGGAGGCGATGGCTTCATGAATACCTGCCAGTGATCACTAGGCGGACCAAGTGGTGCGAAAAGGCTAAGCCTCTTGTAGAAGGGGATATCGTGTATGTGTGCGATCCTGGACAGCCGCGTAGCCAGTGGCCGAAAGGAAGAATCCTGAAGGTGAACCTTAGCTCGGACGGTCATGTGAGGAGCGCCGCGGTGAGGACCCAATCTGGCGTTTATACATGACCCGCGACGAAGCTGGCAGTTCTATCTATCGAGAGTAGTTTGGTAGATTCCTGGCGGAATATACAAGTGGGGAGTGTTACGATAGATAGCAAAACTGCTCCCGCGGCATCCGGCAACACCGAAGTTGCAGAACCGATGTTAACTCAGCCGGTAACCATGTGCCTAAGCTTTCTTTTCTATTTGACTTTCGAGGGAAGCGGACGAAAAGTGAGAACATATTAAGATTAAGATTTGATTATGAATTGTACCACAATTACTTTACTAGGAATTTAAAGTGCTGCTATCACTGCTTGGAGTGAAAGAGTGGTTACCGACTGTACCACTGTTAGCCCTTGCTGCCCTGTTATAAATGAAGAAAACTATAAACAATTATCAGCATTTTTATTATTATTATTATCATTATTAAAGGTAGAGCAGTTTACAAAACTAAACTAGCTTAGTGGGTATAGCACTGGCAGCGGGGCCTTTGGCTTTAAAGTCTAGTTGATAATTAGACTTTATACATGTTTTAAGTCTTACATTACATTTACATAATTACATTTTAGTTACGATTTTCTGATTTTAGTGTTAGGATGGACTTCATATTTTGTGGAACAAATTTGATTCTTTTAGAAAAGATATTATTTTTTTAAGGTTATCTGTGTTTAGTTCGTTTAGTGGTTAAGTAGGTTAAGTGGGTTTGTGTTTTTAAAGATAGAGTGCTTTATTTGATGGATTGATGGGCATGAGTTGAGTAGGTGGGATATGGTGTTGTCTCCTTGGCAAAAGGGGCATGGGGATGTTTGGTTCTGGTTGAAGTAGTGTTCGTGGGTAAGTTTTGTGGGGCCTAGTCTGAGGCGTACTATTTTTATTTGGTCGAGCCTGCTCGATTTTGGGTTAAAAGAGGTTATGTATTTGTCGATGTTCGTGTTGTCTTTGTTTATGGATTTATACCATTGAGTGCATTGTTCAAAGTTTTGTTCCTGTCTTGTTGAGAATTCTGACTTTAAATGTTTGTTTATGTCTGTTAAATTTATGTTTGGGGTGAAAATGAGAGGGATTTTCGCTGCTGACTTAGCGGTTTGGTCGGCTAGCTCATTGCCTGCTATGCCTACATGGCCAGAAATCCACAATATTTTTATTTTTGGTGCTATCTTTGTTAGATGTGATCGGATTTTGTTTGAGTAAAAGTTGTAATTGTTAGTGTTTTCTATGGAGTCAATTGCTGAGAGGGAGTCAGAGCAAATCATGAATTTACCCCTCAAACTTTTGACTTGATCAATTGCTTCTTGGATGGCTATTATTTCGGCGGAGAGTACGGAAGAGTATGGGGGGAGCATACCATATTTTAAAATGTGGTTTTCTGTTGTGACTGCGTAAGTTATTGTGGAATTTATTTTTGATCCGTCTGTGAATATAAACTTGTACGATTTGTGTCCTCCTTTGGTATGTTCGTATATTTTTCGATATGTGTCTGGGGGTGTTTTTTGTTTCTTGTGGATTCTGAACGTTGTATCTATAAGATTGGGGATCTCCCAAGGTGGATTGAATTTTTGTAGTTTTTGTGGTTGGTATGGTAAGTTTAGTGAGAGGCAGAGTTGTATGGTTCGGTCTATGGTGGTTAGGTTTTTTCTGATTTTTCTGATTGTATGGGTGTGTCTCTGGAAAAAATTAAGTTTTTGCTAAGCTTGGCTGTTTGTAGGTCTCGTTATTGCTCTATTGTGAGAATATTGGACTCGTTGATTAAGTTAGATATGGGGGTTGTTCAGAAGGCTCCAAGGGCTAGGCGAAGCGCAGCATTGAACGGGGTCTTTAATTTGTTTAAGGTGCTTTTTGGTGAGTGTCCGTAAAGGAACATCAGTATTCCAGTTTAGCAATGACCGTTGCTTTGGCGACGTGAAGGATTGTGTGCGTATAGGCATTTTATTATATTTAGTTTTTGGTGAAGTGAGGGTATGTGTGTTTATGTGTTTATGTGTGTGTTCCACTTGTATTTATTGTTAATTGTTAATCCTAGGATTTTGAGCGAGGTGACGGTGGGTATTTGTATGTTGTTGCAGGTTATAGTACAAGTGCAGTTGCGTTTTTTGCAAATGTGTAGGTGTTTGCACTTTGCTAGGGAAAGGGATGCTCCGGAATATGAGCACCAGGTGTTTATATTATTTAAAATGTAGTCTAAGTTGAGGTTTTTATTTCTGTTTTCTTGGCAGTTTATTATAAGGAAGAAATCGTCGGCGTATGCGTTAAATTTAATATTTTTGTGTAAGGCTATAGTATTTGCTAGTTTATTGTATTTGCTAGCACCCCTACTCGATCGAAGGCTCTTGAGAAGTCAAGAGAGATGAGTGATGTGTGCTCCTTTGACTTTATTATGAGGTAGTCTACGTAGAGTAGACTGTCCGAAGTCGATTTTCCTTTTTTGAAGCCAAATTGGTTTCGGTTAAGCACTTTATTCACGGTTACAAACCACCATAGTCTTTTGGCAACTATTTTGTCGAGAGTTTTTGCAAGACAGCAGTTGAGGGATATGGGTCTGTATGAATTTATTTTTGTTTTTTCAGTTTTTGTCTTGAGGATCGGTATGACGAGGCTTGTTTTATAGGCTTGCGTATGGTAGGTATGTGACTGTCTAGTATTTTGTTAAAAAGGTCTGTTATTCTGTTTTTTGTGGTAGGTGAGCTGTTTTTTATCATTTCATATGAGATTCTTTTTAACCCTGGAGTGGCTCCCTTAAGCGTTTGTAAGGCTGACATTAGTTCGAGGAGAGTAATTATTTCCTCTATGGTTTTGGCTGTTGGGCAGGGGGTGTAGTCTTATGTGTTGCTTTTGTATTTGTTGTTTCGGAACTCTTCTGAGAAGTTCCTGTCGTTTGAAAGCTCTGAGAAGTGCCGTGCAAATATATAAGCAATGTCGTTGGTAGAAGTTGTAGGGGTGTTATTTTCGGGGTTTTGTATTGCGTGGATTTGTTTGGCTGGGTTAAGTCTGCAAAAGCGTCTTATATTGTGCCATATTTTGGATGAGGGTGTTGACGGAGCTGTGGTGGATGTAAAGGAGTTGGATGCTTCATTTTTATTTTTTTCATTTCAAATCTATATTTGGCATTCTTTATTCTGTAATCTGTTATGTTTTGAAGGTTTATGTTGCGATTAAAGGTGTTCCAAGCTAATTGTTTTTCTTTTTGTAAGTGAGCTAAGTATTTATTGCACCAGGGAACCTTGTATGTTTTAGAATTTGGTGAGGTTTGCGGAATAGAGCTGTTTGCACTATGCAAATGATTTTGTTGATTTGGGCAGCCTCTTTGTTTACATTTTCAGAGGGGGCAATTTTGGAGTCATATTGGTGTGTGAGGGCAGAGTACTGGTTCCAATTGGCGTTTTTTAATTTAAAAAAGGGTTTGTTGAATTTATTTACCTTTTCTAATGGAAAAAGAGAGGTGATTATTGGGAAGTGATCGCTCCCATGAAGGTCATCGAGTATTTTCCACTTGGTGTGTGGGGCTAGTTATTCCGAGCAAAGGGAAAGGTCAATGTGTGTGTATGTGTTGTGTGTTGAAAAATGTGTTGGTGATTTGTCATTTAAGAGGATAAGTTGGGATGTGTCGATAAATTTTTGTATAAGTTTACCTCTTGGGTTAGAGGTAGGGGAGCCCCAGGCTGGGTGCCAACCATTAAAGTCCCCCACTATTAATGAGGGTACTTGATGTCTATGCAATGTGTTTTCTAGTATTTGTCTTGAGATAGTTTTGGTCGGAGAGATGTAAACTGTCTGTATGTGTAGGTTTTGCTGGGATTTTACAAGTATTTCTAGTGTTTCGAGATCGTTTGTGGTGTTAATTATTGAATGTTCGATCGATTTGTGTACTAGTAGTGCTACGCCGCCAAATCTGTTCGTGGCTATGTTAGTTAGTAGAGTGTAGTTTACGGGGGTTGGTATGTTATAGGTGTATTGTATGTGTGATTCTTGGAGAGCTATAATGTGTAGGGAGTGGTTCTTTATCAATATTAGAAGTTGGTTATAATTGTTAGAGTAACCTTTTATATTCCATTGCATTATATTAAGGGACATTTTTGCGGTGAAGATCGGGTTATTTTAGGATAAGGTTGGTGGATTTTAGATGGATTCGTTGTCGCTGTTATTGGTATGTTTGTTTTTGGTTGCGGGTTTAGTTTTTGGTTTGGATGGTTTGAAGTTAGTGGAGAGAGAGTTTGACTTATCTTTGGAAAATATTTTTAATGTTAAGTTCTTTGTAATTTGTAATGCGTAAGGTGATTTTGGTGTGGTGTCTGTAATGTCGGTATCCATGGCCTCGATGTCGTCTTGCTCTTTCTGTTGAGTGTGATTTTGGAGGTGTTCTTCGGGTGATTTTGGTGCTTTAGTTGAGGTTCCGTGGGATGTTGGTTATGGTGTTTTGTGTGTGATTTTTGTGTATAGTTTTTTCTATTGGTGTGGTGGTATTTGAAGATTGGGGTTTTGTTTGGTCCTGTGTAGTGTTGCTGGCCAGAGTTGTTGCATACGTGGCTCTAGTTTGGTATCCATGTCGCTCGAAGTATATCCTCAAAGCGGTTTTATGGTAGACCTTCTCGGTAGTTTTTATAGCTGTAAGTTCCTGTTGCTTAAGGAATGTTGGACATTTACGGTCAAGCGGGCTGTGTTGGGAGTTGATTTCCGGATTGTTCTCGCAGTTGAGGCATTTTTTATCTTTTTGGCAGTGTAAGCCTTCAGTGGTGTGTTTTTCTTCCGAGCAATTTGGACATTTTTCTGTGCTTTTGCATATGGGAGTTGGGTGTCCAAATCGAAGGCACTTTTTGCAGCGTAGCGGGAGTGGTATGTAGTCACGCACGCGAACGGTTTCGTATCTAATTCGAAGTATTTCGGGAAGTTTGTGGGATTCAAATGTTAGAATTATTAGGCCAGTTTCTGTTAGTGAGTCGGTGGTATTGGTGTTGGTGTTGTTGCTTGTAGTTTGTTTCTTCATTATTTTTTTTACTTCTATGACTTTTTGGTGTTTACGCTCTTGAAGG